GCATACAAAACTTTCTCAATCAAAATTTTATGCTCACCCATCAAGCGTTGAATGCCTTCCTTCAGTAATCTACAGCCATTGGGTTGAACTACACAACAATAACATTCTTTAACACAACCCAGAAATAAACTGGCTTGTAGCAAATTCTTCTTGACTGTTGAGAGAGGAGTAACCACATCACTTACAGAGGTGACATACAAAACATCTTCAATAGCACTTATGCCTTTGTCATGCTTCGGCATAGGAGCAATAATCGCATTCAGAGTCTCAAGAGGGTCGAACTCAATTTCTTTGTTATCAATCATGTCTTAAACTTTGTTTTTTAGGGCCCAGCGATTATTAGTGTCGTGCCCAGGACTGTTCGAATGGTAGGCGCATCTTGCATTTGGATTGTAATTCGGAGAGGATGTGTTGGGATTAGGAGGAGGATCCCAGAGTGTTATGAGGTCGGCTTTTAACAGATGTTATAATACTTGAGCCAATGGAATATTTATCCTGGTAAATTGCCTCCTTGGAGCATATGACCTACGTTGGTTTCCTTGTTGTTGTTTTTGAACAGGTGTTGGATTAGAGATCAATACCGCCCCCACAAACTGATGGTGGTCATTTTTACTATGGCTTTTCTAGTCATACACATCATTGGCTTATTTCTTTCCAATAAAAGGCTTCTTCACAGCATTTGAAGATGTAGCCATCGAAATCTTCCCACTCTTAATACCACTTTCAACTCTTTCGCCAGTCAGAATTAGCTCAGTAAACCCTGATGAAGAACTCCCAATCAGCATATCAAATAATGGACCCGTCAGAGTGCCCATGAACATATCTACCATTTCTCGATCATTCAAAGGAGGTTGCACCCTTCCAGCTAAATCCCTCAATTTTTGTGCATACTCCTTGAACCCTTCATTCGAGCCCATGGACATGTTTTGCAATTGTACACGAGTCGACGCTGGATCAGCATTATATTGATACTACTTGTAGAAAGCAGCAGCCAAGTCTTCCCATGTGTGGATGTGGGTTCCCTCCAACTGATAGAACCATTCAAGTTGAGTAACGGACAAACTTTCTTGAAAGAAATGGACCCATAATTTCTGGTCAGTAGTATGAGGTTGGATTTTTCGAACATACGACCTCATATGAAGTTTGGGACAAGAGACCCCATCATATTTACCAAAGATAGGGACCTTGAATTTGTGAGGGATGACCACCCCCGGGATCAGACCTAGCTCTCCAAAATCTAATCCAGGCACTTTCTGGATTTCCACAGCTTTGAGTCAGTCTTCTAACTGCTTGTACTTATCATCTTCAGGAGGGTACTGTTCTTCGGAGTAGTCTTCATCTTCGGAACCCTGATTGTTTTTACCTTCACCCCTGACACTTCTATCCTCCTCCTCTTGGTTGTCGCCTTCCTCAGAGGAAACATCTTGAACTAGTTGAGTAGGACCTTTGAATCTTCTCCCTATGTTGAGGATAACAACCCACTTCTTAGTCTTCTTTTCGTGGTGAGGAGCGCCATCATCTCTTGTTGCCCTTTGGCCAGATTCAGGAGAGTCTCTTGAAATTGTACATGCAGAGTTTGGAGATCCTTGACAGTTTGTTCAAGAGCCATCTTATACTAAAATAAACAGTAAATAGATGAGGAAACTTATATTGGAGAAACTGCTTATGAAATGATGCATGATATGTGGATGCAATGTTTTCAAGGACCTTAGGAGATTTAAATTTGCTAGCCAAAAAAGGAAACAAAAACAAATTTTTCATTAATAAGTTCAGAATTACAAACTTCCTTCTAGGCATACAATGAAAAGCAAAAAGGGTCTCGAGACAACAATATAAATTTCTAAACCCTAAGATTCAAGTCTCCCATGGACGCTTCCTCTTCGTGTCGATGTATGCATTAAGATTCCTCTCTTCATGAAGTTGCTTTGTGAGCTCCAACACCTTCTTTTCACTTGCATAGGATTGAGCTTCAAAAGTTTCCCGTTCTTCTTTGAGTTGGATCCAGGACTTATATAATTCTTTGAGGTTAGTGGGCATGTCAGGATGAAGAATGGTGCGAGAAACGTCTCCTTCAACAACAGGCTCTAAGATCACCAGTAGAGCAGCTGGATATGGCATCATAAGGTTTTGAGCGCGAGCTCATACATATTTGAGGTAGGGATCCAAGGGGATAGAATTATTATGCCCTAAAGTCTTGCTATCAACCTTGTTTACCATGCCCCAAGCCCGTACAAACCTTTGACGATAACCTTGAAAATTGTTCTCGTAGTCGAACACAATACCCTGGACAAGTGCGTCATGAGGACCATCTCTTCGAGCATAACCAAATTGTCGTAGAGCCAGAGAAGGGTTGTAAGTAATACCTCCCCTAATGCCAACGAGTGGAACATTAGGGAATTCCCCGTAACGGTTAATGATAGTATCATCTTCCAGAGATCGGGAACACCAATAGATATCTGAATGAGAAGGCGACATAATCCTTTGCGACCACCTTAAACCTTGTTCATTCTTCAATACTGATCGGGGAAGGTGCGAAATAAACCACCTGGATAGAAAAGAAATGTAGCGGTAAAGATTTGATATTTAAGCCATCAATTGAATTAACTCAACACAATAAAGTCGCCACCGCACTTTATTGTTTCCAAAGGGAAATGGGAAAAAAGCGAACAAAACCCAAAAAGATCAGAGATCAAGGTACAGGGGCCGGTTATACAAAGGGAATGTGTTAGCACCCTAAGCATCTACGGTACTCCATAGGATCCACTTTGTTTGGTTTCTTTTAAAAGGAGTGTCATGTAAAGGTTTACTTGCTAAAGGAAAAGAATGAATGAGTATTTTTAAACAAAATAAAATGAAATGTTTTTTTTATTATTTTTGTTGCTCGCCTTGGGTCGTAAGACTTAGTGCCTACGTACTCCCTCGGGCAATGGGAAAGTCAGAACATCATAGTTCGGCTAGAAAAGACTTGTCTGTTGATTGATTTTAAACAAGGAGACAAGTCGTCATTGTTAGGAGATAAATCTCGACTAACGCCTACAAGGTGTGAGAAAGATGGACCCTACATCAGCAAGAGTGAGGGTTTGAGAATGCCTCTAGTACTCAAGTGGAAAAGTCGACACCTTTATAACCATAGGGATAGGAGAATGTTGCTCGATTATCAATTAATTATGTCTCATCTTGAAAAAAAGTTTGAATGGTAAAAGTTGCTCGAGCACAAAAAAGAGTTTGACTGAGTTGAATTGTTTTTGTTAATTTCGAAAGATGTCGAAGTATGATTAAGTGAATTGAAGTTTGTTTAAAGAAAAGAAGTTTTAAAAGAGAAGCACTCGACAAAGCCGAGGTTTATTATGAAAGCGATTCGAGTTTATAAACAAATAAGATTTTGAAAAAGATGAGAAGGTTTTGAAAATTAAAGAATATGGGAGAAAAGAATGTCCTATGTACAGGAGGGTAAAAGATACGGTAAAGCGATTCCGACCGAATAAGAAACCAGTACTTGACATGATGAAGTCAATACTGTATTCCCATCCCTTCGGGGTTTAAAGCCACAGACAGAAAAAATAAGCTAAGAGTATATCAAATCTCAGGTGAAAATGAATCACAAGTTGACAGCATCAAAAAACCAGATGTAAGATAATACTCCAAGCAGCGAATAAAGCGCAATGAATTGCAATGCATGAAAATAAATCACGGACGAAGAAAGCATGGATAAAGCTCGCGGTAATGGATAAGGTTCAAGATATTGAATAAAGCTCACGGTATAAGATTCCATGCATCACATGAAATATATAGAAAAAACTAACAGCACGGGAAAATTTATATGCGTCCATATGATTTTTCAGAAGTTAATTTGAATTAAAGTTTAAAATCATAACGCAATAAAAATAATATTTACATAACCAGAATTTATTTACAAATGAAGTGAACAAAATGTACAGTCAAAAAATATTATGTACAAGTATATATTTACCGTACCAAATATTAAATCAGAATAGTAAAATACAATAAAAAGGTAAAAGGGAGAAGTGTAGGAATTGTGGATGCGCTATGTGAGAATGGATACTTGAAACTATTTTAAGAAACCTTCACAATAAACAAACTCGTTAGAAGCATAAGCGGTATAAAAATTAAAATGAAACGAAATTGCAACAAGATTTGAATTTATGTTAGTAATCACAAAGTATAGAAATCAAAATGAACTTGTATGATGCATATGAACAAATCAATATTTACACAAATCAAAATCAAGAGTTTAATCCATAATTTAATTCAATCCATGAAAACTCAAGCTTAAATTAAGAATTATCAAAAGTTGGACAACAACAAATTATGCATAAAAAGCTCATGAAAATCAATTTCCAAGTGATGCTAAACTTATGTACAAACACCAATATTAAATCAACAAACTTTGTAAATTGATTTCAACTTGAAAGATAATCAAAACCACTCTTTAAAATCAATCAAACAGCATGACAACATCAACACCGACAATTTAATAAACTTATGTCATTTTCATATTAAGTTAAAAAGTGATTAAAAATAAGTTTTGAATCAAAGTTTCGGCGATGTATAAATCCGGACAGCATAACCGTAACAAATTCTTCATCACAACTTTACAAGAGCAAACTAAAATTTTTATATAAGATTTATCATTGAAACCAAATCAGATTTTTTTGCAGAATTTTTATCACGGGATCAAAACTCAATACAACCAGAAAAATGTTATTCAGAAAAATTGCAACCTATTCTGTCACGGTGGCAGCGTAACACTGATAAATCAAAAACAGCCTAATGATTTTTCAGCGGAACAAATTTATGTCCAACATGAAAACATTTCTTCACGGTTTTTTTTTGTAACATAACAATTTTAACTTAATAAATCAAAACCAAAATTACCACAAACTATTTTTTTACAGAATTTATCAAGTCATATTCACAGCATAACAAATTGGCATATAACCTATTTCTCACAGAGATTATCACAACATGACAATCATGAAATGGTGTTGAGATATTACCGAATGTCGAAGTTGTTACGGGATTGGCAGGTGGTGTTGTTGATGACGGTGCTGGATGTGGAGAAGTGTTACGCGTCGGTAAGCACTAAAGGCGGTGTTGATGAAGAAGAAACAGGGGCAGAAATTAGAGATGCAAGTTGGGTGAAAGGAATTAGAATCGGACTGTGGCTAGTGGAGGTTGTGTGGGACAGAGGTGATAGTGGAAGTTGGGCGATCACGATTTCCAGAAACGGTGGGTTAAGGGTAATTGAAGGGAGTCCGGATGGATACGGTGGAGGAAGGCTGGGATTAAATGAAGGTTGGATTTAACAGTGGTTGATTTGTGGTTGAAGATGAGGGGTGTTGGTAATGGTTTGGTGATGAACGGATGTAACAAAGGTGAAGCGGATTTGCGTGTTAGCAAAGATGATGAAGTTTGGGTTACAGTGGAAGATGGATGTTGGTTTGAGGAAATCGGTGATGATGTGAAGTTGGTGAAGAGAGTGTGAATTGCTAGGTTGGAGATAAGATTGAAGGTGGTATGGTGTTACAGTGATGGAAGGTTAACAGTAGAAGGGTGGTTTGTTGTTAACTTCTTTTTTTGTTTTGTTATTTGTTGTGTGTTGTTACTTTTGGTTTTTGTGTGTAGCAGGGGAAGAGAAAAAGAAGTTGGAAAGGGGTATTATGCGTGGAAAGAGAAGAGGGAGAGAGGGAGAGAAAATGAAGAGAGAGTTTACTGTGTTGTTGTTTTTTTGGTTTTTTTTTGTTGTGTTTAAACAAAGAGTATTGAGACTCTTATATAGGAAAATGAAAAGGAAAATTGATTTCAAGAATTAATAAGAACCGTTCAAAATTATTCAATGTATCTATCCGTTATTTTTGCTAACAGCCAATAAGAATCAAGCACAGTGTAAATAATATATTTTTGTGACCAAATAGCCCTTAAATGATAAAAATAACCAAAAACACTAAAAGTATTAAAATTAAATCAATTTAAAATAATTTTTTTGAATTTTTTCTGAATAAAAAATAAAGACCCAAAATGACTAAAAACGATAAAAAACAGACGAAAACTTATCCGAAAAAATAAAATGAACATATTAAAATAAACTACATGTCACAAAGATTAAATAAAAAATATTCAAAAAGTCAAAATCAGAATAAAATGAGAATAAAAATATCAGGCTAAATAGATGTTTACGGTTAAAAATGAGACTTCAAACTGTAGCAAAAAAATAAAGCGAGCATACTGTCATAATCTACGTGAAACGCGGATTCAGAAAATGATCGGTAAAAGGTGATAACTTGAAATATTTTTCTCGTTAATTTTCCGCACAGTGTCGAATCACTTTTAACAGTTTGTCTATAAAACCAAAATATTTTTATTATCAACATATAAACAACTTGGAGCAATGCAAGAAACAAGTAAAGAGATAAAAATGCATGAAGTGAAATGTCGGGTATTTTTCAACTACAAAATGATGCAAATGTCGATTTAAACTGACTTTTGGTCAACTTAAACACGATTAAATGATGAAAATGTGATGAATGAAGCTATTTATTAATGATTGTGACCAAATGACAAAATATGATATAAAAGTGCGACTGAAAAAATTAGGGGCGAAATTTAGGGTACAACAGTTGCCCCTATTTAATTATCTTTTAGCCAGATAGGCGAAAAGTAACTAAATACAAACAGACCCGAATTTCATCCCTGATGCGATGAGATGATAGCGTATGTTATGAATGCATGGACTCTTTTTTGACATATATTTTTTTTGAATGATGTATGAGATGAGACAGAATCTGGGAATGTGGAAAGACTCAAAACTGAAAACTTATGGTAGTTCAGGTGAAATGATGTGGAATGATACGCTAGGGAAGCAACAAGATAATTCTGGATATCTGTCAGGGTGACAAAGAGTAACCAGCAATACTTGGAAAAAGGGGTAAAACCCGAGAAGGCAAGCGGAGACATCCAAGAATGGCATTGAATGGGGCGAGCAACTCTCTAGAAAAGACAATCAGAAACATCTAGAAGAACATTAGATGTGGGATGAGACCAAATCTAAAGCTACATCAGAGTCATCCAGGAAAGACGTTGGACGAAAAAGAAACACGACATCCAATATTGGCTTTGAATGAAGGGAAAACTCAACGTCTAATAATGGCTTTAGACAACGGAAAAGATCACAACATCCAATATTGGCTTTGGATGAATGGAAAACTCAACGCCTAATAATGGCTTTAGACGAGAGAAAAGATTACAACATCAAATATTGGCTTTGGATGAGTGGAAAACTCAATGTCTAATAATGGCTTTAGACGAGAGAAAAGATCACAACATCCAATATTGGCTTTGGATGAATGGAAAACTCAACGTCTAATAATGGATTTAAACGAGAGAAAAGATCACAACATCCAATATTGGCTTTGAATGAGGTGAGACAAATCATGGTATTTAATAATGGCTTTGGATAACAACAAAGATAACAACATCCAATATTGACTTTGGACGGAAAAAAGAGAACAACATCCAATATTGGCTTTGGATGGAAACAAAAGATAGCAACATCCAATATTGGCTTTGGACAGTAACAAAAGAGGGTGGCATCCAATATTGGCTTTGGATGGAAGCAAAAGGTAGCAACATCCAATATTGGCTTTGGATGGAAAAAGAGATCTTGACATTCAATACTGGATTTGAATGAAGGAGAGGTAACAATATCCAAGATTAGAATTGGTTGAAAGAAAGAAACAGTTCATCCAAGAATAGCATTGGGCAAAAGAGAGAAACAGCTGAACTGACATCTGTTTTTGTAGGTGCCAAGTAAGTTGGACTTTGATCTCAAGGTGACATGTCAACTGCAACAAGACCTCGGAAAATGCAAATGAGGATGGAAAACTCATGTTATGCATTATGTATGAATTTGTTATGCATGATATGTGAATGATCTATGCATGTAATGCAGACGTTTACGACAATGGAGTTTGAATCTTTTGTGGAGGTAAGATTGGAAGTTCGATTCCTCAACACGGAGAACTCTGGAAAATTTTCTTGGAAAGAAAATGTCTTGAACCCAAATTTGTCACACTTGTAAACTGTATTGAATTGTTGATCTTCTGAGGAAAGACATGGAAAGTTGCTTGAGGATTTGTCCCAGATTAGCTGACTGTTGAAGATAAACTGATCATGGCTTCAGTTTTGAAATGTTTGTTGGGAATAAACTGATCATGGCTTCAGTTCTTGAGATAATTATTGAAATAAACTTATCATGGCTTCAGTTTCTGAAATGACTATTGGAGATAAACTGATCATGGCTTCAGCTTTGAAATGATTGTTGGGAAGGAATGCCCCAGTATGAGTCTTGAAAATGATCTTCTGGCTAACCAATTCCGAGAAAACTCACACTGAGCAGCAAATCTTGAACTGATTCGCAACTGGATCTGGAAGATGCTTGCCCCTGATAGGGTCACTGACCAAGTTTCCCAGCTGTTTGAAATTCCTTGACGAGGAAAGCTTGTTTGCAAGAAATATTGTTTATTCAAACATGGTAATTTTAATGCAAAGTTCATGCAAAAGTTTTGAATCCAAAATCATTTTTGAAATGATGTTATTGGTGTATGGAAAATGCATCACTGGTTAAAACACAGTGGTTTATACTTTTAAAGTAAAAACAAAGGTATGAAACCAAAAAAATTTATTCACAAAAGATAATAGGAGTCAGTTTACGCAACCTTGTTGTAGTATGCTTTCAAAAGAAACTTGGCTTCAATTAGGTATTTTAAGGGTTATAACATGGTCGGGTTCACGGTTTAAGAAATAAAGGATAAAGGCTCAAAGTTTATATGTACCCAACCCAATCTTCGTGATGTTCTTCAGTCCTACGTTCATTTAATTCAGAGTATGCATTCAGGTTCCAAGAGATTTTGGAGTTGCACTAGTGGTAATAATGACGATGGCTCAGAAGCTAAAGGATTCTTGAGAATGACAGTCATTTCTTCTTACAACATTTTGTTGTTTTTAGGACTTTTGTCAACTCTGGTGGAGAATTTTGGGGATTTGAAGACCTCTTCTGATTGAATTTATTATTCCCAACTTTTTCCTGAACTATTTCATTTGGAATTACAGCCAGCGGGATGCCCCGGTTTTTTGCCTGAGCTGTTTCATTTGGAAATACAGTCAGCGGGATGCTCCATTTTTTTGCCTAAGTCTCCTTCAAAGGTTTTGACTTAGCGGGATTTTTCTTTTGATTTCATTTTTTTGGAAAGATAATGATTGCCTTGCTCAATGATTACGAGGAACCATCTTTGTCATTTTTTGGTTTGGGAGCATCTTTTACACTTCTTGTTGTGTGCAAAGGAAAGCTTGATCGCGACCTTTATTGAAAGGTGTCTTGCACAATTTCTCTTATAATTGAATGCATAGCCAAATTAACTGAGAACTACTCATCCCCAAGTTAAGATTGCGGATTTTTTCGTATAGAAAGAAACTCCAACTTCTAGGCTCAAAGGGGTGAACGAGGGATTAACTTCCTTATTACTCCAATGTTTGGGAGTTGAAACAATGCTTGTACATCCTCAGCAAAGTTTTATTCGAAAGCATACTAGCAACAATTATGGGTATTTTGTTTTCATCATCCTCCCTCAAATCTTTGCATAAACAAAAGCTTGATAAAGGGAGTAAACAAGAGAAATATATTTGAAAGCAGTAAATGAAAAATGATTTGAATCAAAATATTGCAATTCTCATTTCATTAAAACTTAACATGAAAGTACAAACAAAATGAAAGCAACAATTTTAACATAAACAAGGGAAAATGCAAACAAAAAGAAAGATGGCCTAGTGACTAATCAGTAACAAGGATGAGTTATCCTGTCTGAAACATTGGCTTTAGGAAGTGATTTGAGGGTACGCCGACTCAGTCTTCAGCCACTTTGTTTTGGCAAAGGATTGTTGATAACATTGGGACCTGCCTCTTGGAAAATGAGAATATTTGCTTTCACCAAATCTTGCACTCTATTTTTCAATGCATATCAGCTCTCTAAATCATGACCGACAGCTCCCTGATGAAATTGACAGTGGAGGTCAGACCTGAACCCGACTAGAAGAGGATTTCTAGGAATCAGAGGCCTAGTTGTAATCAAGCCCTTCTGCACCATTACAGGATACAATTCAGTGTATGTCATAGGGATGGGATCAAACTGAGCCCTATTTCGATTTTAATTATCCGCAATATTTTGTTGTTGAGGAACCCGAACTGGTTGAGCATTAACCGCAGGAGTAATAACCGCTACTTATGATTGATCAGTGTATTGAGGCCTACGGTGAGGTCCTCTTCTCTCAGTCAAGACAACATTGGCTTCTACCTCTTTCTTCTTCTGAAAGTTCCCAAGGTATCTCTTTGCACCATTAGAGGATTCAGCAGCTTTAGACACTTTACCATTCTTTATCCCTTCTTCTAATCTTTGGCCGATAGTCACCAGGTCTATGAAGCTGGAGGACACA